TTGTTCTGTCTTGTCATTTGTTAAGTAAATTACTCGAGCGTCATCTTTATTGCGAATGGGAACTTTGTCTTCGTTCATCAAGAGAGGTTTGTATGTGTCGAAAATATTTTCAAGTTGTGACCTCTTCAATTTTTCTCGATTGACGAGTGCCGATGTCACATTGCACACCCACATCTCCAGACGCCGTTGGCAGAATCCGATAAATTTTGTTATTACGTAGACGAGGGCGCACGTTGTTAAAATTACCCCTTCGATTGCAACGACGTAGAACAATACACGAAGATAGATCTTTCCCCAGTCCTGTAATTGGGGCTTATTCGATTCTGAATTCTTAGTACTATTCATTACACGAAAATCGCCATTAACTTGTTTTTCATCTGTTTTCTTTCTATTTCTTTTTACGGCGTCCTGTGGCGAATATAATTTCCGTGGATGATTTAAAAATTTCTTATAAATATTATTCATTTTATCATCTTTCGATTGAATATCTTTAATTAAAGGGTATTTTCTTGGAGTCTTTTTATACAAAACTTTCACTTTCCGTCGCTTCTTAATTTCGTTTAGCCTTTTCGTTTCACGCGACGTTTTTTTAATGAGATTCCATTCATTATTGTTTGGAACAAAGAGCTCAGGGAAGATTTTCTTCTTTCTCAAGTAAAGTTTCGATAAAATTTCATTTTTCCGCTCAGGTTCTTTTTCTAGACTTGGTTCGGGAGAAAAAACTTGACTCCTTTTATTGGTGTTTTCCGAAAGCTTTTCGGACCGAATCGGCATTTTGCCACTGTCTGATTCGTCTGCTGGGTATGATTTGTCATATCCGGTTCGAAATATGTCTCTGGCTTCAATTCCAGTTTGAAAAAATACGAATAAAGTCATAAAAACGAAGAAATTCTTCATTGTAAATATTCGCAGCGAAATCGCATCAAGTAAACTCTCAACAATTATGAAAAAATTGTATTATTAAAGCATAATAATCGAGCGAATAGTTTAATTGTACGTAATATATTGAATAGATTTGTTTTTTCTTTAAATCAATAATCGTAAAAATTGATCTAAAGACTAACGATGCTTTATCTTGTACAATTAAGAACTATTTTATTTTCTTTCGAAAAAAAACAATGGCATTCTTTGATCAAAGATAAAGAATTCTACACAATATTATTTCTTCCTACTTCATAAAATGGCATAAATTTAATTTGTATAATTAAAATACAGTCTTCGTGGGGCCACTCACCTACAAAAACAATATCTCCGCCCTTAATTATTTAATATTATTTAATTAGCAATTTGAAACGCAGTGTTTACTTTTACATCTATATTCTGTTTATCTAAAAGTTAATCATAAAAAAGTTTTGATTATTTTTCTTATTAGTCAAAATTTTACTATATTAACAATCCGCGGCCACCCACATTCTAAGGCTTCTTTCGAAGGAACAATGCAGACAGTCTAAGAGAAAGATGACCTTCTTATACCATAAATTTCATAGATATATTTTCATATACCATAAAATAAATTGGATTTTTTATTAATTACTATAAAGTTGGCACAAACTGGAAAATGAAGCTCAGTAAAAATAAAATGATAGTAATTAGTCGTTTTTATAGTATAATGCTGAATTTATTAATACAGGAATGTTTTCTGTATTAATAAATTCAGCATTTTAACCTACTGATGTTCGATAAAATTTCTGTACAGAGCTGATTGTAATAGATTACTGTACGCATATTTTTCTGAAATGAAATTTCTTTTCGTAACTTTATAATTCGTGGCATCTATCCAGAAGCGGATCTACAAAATTTTCAAAGGGACAGCCAAAGCATCTCTTAAATATATATATAACGATGTTTAAAAATTGTATAGGAAGAAGCTACTCGTGTTTCATTCAAAATCAGTAAGAAACGGAATCAAATTGTAATTAGAAATACTTAACTGTATCTTACAAATTTTATAAAATTATAATTAAAAATCAATTTCCTAACGGATATATTAGAATTAGAAGCTGTCAATCTCCATTTTCGAATTAAGATAGTTTATGTAAACAGTTTTAATCGAACACGGTATTTATATTTCAGATATATTAGCCTATTCACAATTTATTATTTAATCATTGTAATAAGATACGTAATGCGGTTATAATAAAATATTGTGCGATTATTTTCATATAATTTAAATTAATATTTATTTATTTTTTAGAAAATACAAGGGAACCGGCGCNGTTAATTAATAATTTTGGTATATTTTTTACTTTTATCTTTCATATTTTGTATTATCCATTTTGGCATTCGAATAAAATGTTATTATCTTTTGCAGTTTTAATTCATATTGTCCCTTGAAATAACAAATAACATCATTAATGAGATTTCAATTTCTCGTTTCTTCTATACCTTTTTGTTTTATTGTATGATAAATATTGTCAACCAGTGTTTTTCATCCCTTGTGAACTAGTGTAAATTGGGTCAAAAAGATACAATATCGTTTTGATTCTATAGTCAACTGTCTTTTTTGTTGGGATGCATTCAAAAAACAGTTTTTTTATTTGATTTGCTATTTTTACAACTTGTTCAATAATGTGAAAGTAATAGCGATACACTTTGGGCTATATTTTATTTTTTTAAATAAAATATATCCCAAAGTGTATCGAATCTCTACTATTTGTAAATATTTATGTAAAAATGCAATAATATACAAAGAAAATAATATAAAAACTAAATCATTGAAAGCTTGAAACTGAATTTACAGTATTGTAATTAGCCTAAGATAGATACAGACAAATAGTCTAATAACAATTATTAATGCGTGAAATACGGAAGTTTTTCTATCTTTAGCCGGTATCATGTGAATCTTATTGAATGACCTATTTACACTATTATTTCACACTTCATATACGAACAATTTCACTTTTAAATTACTTACTTCCAACTTTCACAAAAAAAAAAAAAAAAATCTAATGCTTAACTATAAAATATAAACTATATATTTTACTTTATAGGGAAATTTTGTATGCTAAATTTCTTCCTAACTTGTCGAATTGCGTGATATTACACTAACTAAAACTTTGATAGATCGATTATTTTGAATTGCTCTATGTATCGAGACACAAAGTTTAACCTACTCGTTTAGTTGTGATATAATTTATGACGTCTTTTTTTAGACTGTGACTTTTTTTTTATAGATAGAACGGGTGGGTAGCGATACAAAGATTTACATTCACGGTATAATAGCGCTTAGATGTTTCGTGCGTCAGAAAGGTAGATATTACGTAACTCCACTCAGCTTTTAGGAAACGTCATTTTGGTATGCCAGCATCCTAACCGTTCAAGGGTAAGCTATATTTGTGACAAACGCCTTCTGCATTCAAATCGAGGAAAAGTGCAGACATGTTCAGAAGAAGGCCTTTTCGTGGTGTGAGTTTTTCAATATATTTCATTTTTATGCTTTACTTTTCCATCTGTACGCATTTAATGACGTCTCTTTCATCTTAATTCTATATTAAAGACTGATTAATATTTATATAATAATAAATTAATATTCGGGAAAGGCGTTTAGCTTAGATTAAGCAAAGAATCCCTGCCAAAAGTTGATTGAATTATAACTTAAAATGAAAATTTTAATTTTATACTTTAATAAAGTTTATGATATATAATTTATTAACTTTATCTCTTAATAATAAGGAATAAATGTATAAATATAATGAGTATAAATTAATGAATAAATATATAACTTATTAACCATATTTTCTTATTAATAAATAAATAAATAAATAAATATTGGCTTGTAATTCCTGATTTTTTAAACCAAATTCTATTTTTAACTTTCTGTGTTTATTTACGTATGAACTTCGAAAACTAAACATCACCTAAAAGAGTAAAGATACGAATATTTTAATGTTTGAAATTCTAATATTTCTCCTTTAGTTTATATTTTTTATTTCGAAATAATGTATATGTTTCAAGCAATAAATTATTTTTTAACTTAATATTGGTAATTATACACGAATTAGATGCGATGACTCATAGGTGTAGTGTATTTTGTACGCGTACTTACTTTCTCGATTAGTTCAGCTAATTTGTATTTTTATCGTCATTGCACGCCAGAAAATAATTTTTTTTTTTAAATTAAAATAGTCTATATTGCATAAATATAGTAACTATACAGAAGAGCATTATATTAAACACCCTTATTGTATATTACTAGAATTATTTAGCGCCGGTTGTATCGATTATTTGATTTATATGTAACGTTTTTTTTACTGTAAATTACTACAATAGAAACAACAATATGGAGGGCAAACATAACACAGGTCAAAGCTCTTTCTGAAAATAAGCAAGAGGATGGCAAAATCAATATAGTCCTGTAAATAGTTTTATATATTTTTAACTAGTTCCGTCATGTTTTAAAAGTATGTGTATCATCATCATATTACTAAAACGGCAAGCCTGCAATGGTTGGAAAAGATTGACGTCATTACAATTTTTACCTAAAAAAATTGACGTTTAGTTGACGTAAAGATATATAATGTCTCGACAGTCGAGCGTACTTAGCATTTTTCATGAAACAAATTAGGTTAATCTATAATGATATTATTTGAATTATAATAAAGTAACTAAAGAATTATTATTATAGACTTATAATAAATTAATATTATTCACGGATGATGAACGGATTAATCGACGATAACTATTTCTTCATTTATACTTAAACATTAATCGTTGCTTTAAATAAATATTATAATATGCCCTCGATTTTCCGGATCTTAATGAGTGGATATCAGATTTAACTACCTTTTTCTGGCTTTTTTGTATTTTTATTGAGTTTTTTTTTTTCATTTCCGCATTAATTTGGCAAACATTGGTGAATAACTATGAATTTTTCCTATGCACTTAAAATTAATTTTAAGCTATTTTTAATTAAAGCACTTAGAAAGATAAACTTAAGTATTTCAAATACTATTTTTTAAATATTTATATTAATTATTCTACAATTTGAATCCAGTTAATAAGGTTCAATTGTGTTCATAAAATATAAAAAAGCACTATCTGTAAGAATTGCAACAAAGATATATCCGTAATAATCTACATACACTGTTACCGCTAAAGCTCGAAAGTCGTTAATGTGTACATTACCTAGCTAATCTGCAGATTAACTAGGGTAATCCGTTAAAGTTGTGAAAACTGTTCCATTTCTCAAATTACCTAGATAATGTGCAGCGTATCTAGGTAATCCGCACATTACCTACTAGGCACTCGGTAAAGTGAAAATAAGATCTTTCCCACAAATAGGTGTGCTTGTCGCAAAAACCAATTGCTATGAAATTCAAAGTGTCACCAATCTTTAGACTGCACTAATAAGTAAGCACAATTGGATAATGTTACCTATGGTGAGTAAAATGGCGGCTTGTCTCTGATTCCAGCAAAGAGAAGAAAGGAAACAGTGGGGACGCACGTTCAAATCTAACCTAACCTATTGTAATAATTCGGTTCGTAATAATTATGGTAATTTATTAGAATAGGTTAGGTTAGAACGTGCGTCCCCACTGTTTCTTTTCTTCTGTTTGCTGGAATCAAAGACGAGCCGCCATTTTACTCACCATAGGTAACATTAACTGCACAATTATATCACGCGATCATCAGAAAAAGTATGACTTTATTATTTTTTGTCTCCAGTCCAAAAGTAGGGTATCGTTGAAGTCGTCTCGGACCCCTCAGTTCAGAAGATACTCAAAGTCCGAAATTCCATAGGTGGTTATCTATATAATAATTTCCCTAATTGTATTAATATTTTAAACCGTTTGATTTTTTTGTATGATTTTTAATTGGTTGATGATTGATTCTATCAATTAATTTGTCGATTGTTTGATTGTATTAACTTGATTCTTTAGATATCGAAAATTAAATAAAGAACATTATGTTAATTTAAGCGTACAGAAACGTTGCTGTTGTTCCAGAAAAGATCTTATTTTCACTTTACCGATTGCCTAGTAGGTAATTTGCAGATTACCTAGATAATCTGCACATTACCTAGGTAATTTGAGAAATAGAGCAATTTTAGCAACTTTAACAGATCACCCTAGTTAATCTGCAGATTAGCTAGGTAATATACACATTAACTTTCGAGCTTTAGCGGTAACATATACAAGAATCCCTTAGATGTTTTTAGAAAATATGTTTTATATAAGATTATATGAAGGAGTATTTTTCAATCTTCATGGGTTGTCATACCCTCCCGAACTTCCTCCCGAAAGAAACTCTGATTATTGTAATATTATAATCGCTTTCAACTAATAAACAAAATTTCTTTTATTAGTTGAAATCGTTGATTCGTTTATTATTTGAATATTCATATAAAAATTAGAAATAATCGTTAATAAAAGAGAGAAATTTTTAAAAAATTAAATTTTTGTTTTGATAATTTTTTAATTTTGCATTTGACTTTAATAGTTTAAGCTACACAAGAAAACTGCTAAATTAAATTCGTTTATTTAATTTATTATAAAGCAAACTATTAATCTGTTAAGTTTATATACAACAGCTTATTTTAAAATTGCAATTTAATATAGAATCATCAATTATTTATTGTGGCATCGTCACAATAAGTAATTGATGATTCTATATTATAGCCGGGCTACAATTTTAATCATATTTGTAATTTATTTAATTTAAAATATATGCTCTCCACCTCAAATTAGCGGCTTGCCCCTGTACATCATACTTTCCTGCTAGCAATAGAGTCGTGCCGGTCATCTATTTAACACCTTTCAGAGGAAAATTTTAGAATTGAAATGCTGTTTGAATGCTGTTTATGAGATTGTTTTTCTGTCATGATTCGTTGAAACTCTTTTTATATATTATTCTAACGTACTGCTTACATATAGGGGAGACCGGGGCAAGATCGGCATGTTAAGCTTTACTTAAATTTTGTGTAATAAATATTGCTGTAAATTGAAAAAAAAGCTTTGCATATTGTCTATTGGAATGTTACCTTACTATAGAACTGGTTAAAATCAGTTTGGAAATAAAAATAATTAAAATAATTACAACTTTACAAGAAGAGAGAAATTGACGAAGTTGCCCCGGGTATAGGGGCAAGATCGGCAACTTCTCTCTTTTTGTAAAGTTGTAATTATTTTAATTATTTTTATTAAAGTTGCCCCTGGTATAGGGGCAACAGTAATGGGGCAAGATAGGCACGTATATAAAATTATGTTATTAACAATGTATAAGTTGGAATTCACTATTAAAACAAAGAAATACAAATCCAACACCCATTTAATATTATTACAACGAAATGCAAGTTCAAAGACATATATACATGAATAACAAATGCAAACATGTTTTCATTTATCATCTGTTTGATTTTTATCCTTTGCTTCTAATGTGGCTTTATGTTGCCGATCTTACCCCGCTAGTCATGATTTCGAAACATTAAGTACAACCCTGAGAACAGAATGCCAAGCCACGATCTGGCCACGTGAATAAGTTGAAGTTACATCCTTCTAACAGGAAAAGTAACTTTCGTTATCATGGAATTATAACAAAACCTGCCAATTCAATATAAATGGAAAAAAAATATTATATGGAATTCAACGAAAATGAAAATTTGCTTGATAATTCAACTACGCTTGTTGGAGAACAATAAAAACACTACACTCAACAAGCCAACAATAAAACTCAACTGCCTAACCTATAACCAAAGTCTCCTTTTAATTTGTTTTTTAAAAAAAGCGCTTGACAAACTTGCCCCGCATGCCGAAGTTGCCCGGTCTCCCCTACAGAATAATATATTACTATACACAAGTAAAATGCTAATTTACGCAACTCGTTGCTGGATTAGAGTTGCGTAACTTTCCTGACAAAACACTTAAAATTGCTTGTGGCGCCATCTGTTATAAAAAGTCTTTTAAATAAAATATCGTATTTGTTAATTATTATAAAATGGCAAAAAATTTAATTTTGAGGGTAGAGATGAGTTTTATAATAAAAATTGTACATGCTAATAATTAGTCTTCATTAAATCCGGTCTTATTCGAGATATGACACACGACCTCGTCTCTCCATTTCCTCGACTTTTAACTATCAAAATTTAATAATATCAATCCCCTAATCTCCTTGCCAAATTTCAGAAACTTTCGACAAAATGCACAGGCATTATTAAAGCTTCAAAGTGGATGAACAAAATCATGTTCCCCATACATACGAACATTCATACATACAGAGAAACCTGCAAATTTTTTTGCATTTTTCGACGTTTCTAGGTGCTCCGAGTCCAAAAATGTAAAAATCTTGTGGAGTTATTTTTTGATTGATCGCCATACTTTCCCTCTGTTATATGAAACAGCCGGAAAAGTAAAAATATAGCTTTATGTAATTTGCTTTGGAATCCACATTATATTTATAACAGCCATAATGAAATTTCCTTTGTAAATTTAAGAACAAATCTATATCTAAATAAAAACTTAAATGCCATTTAAGTTTAAAAGCCACGTGCAAGAACCTTCTCTAATTAACAATCTTAATAATTATTCTCAATGGTCAAAAATAAATAAGTAAAATTAGGAAAAACTATTGATTAGAGATAAATATTAAGAGATTACACTCAATACTAATTAAATGGAAAAAACAAATAATATAGCCTGTTCTATTGATACAATATGGAGCTTCGATAAATACCTTTAAAAAGTTTTTAAATTTATCATATTAACCCATTAAAATTAAACACAGTAAGAGCAAATTATTCATTTATTAAACAAAATTATTTCTCCTTCCTATATGAAATACATGTTTGGCAAATTGTATAATTAGTTTACCAAATTTCAAATTTTTATTTACTTAGAAATGCTCAAAACTTCTTAAAGATTTTCTTTTTCATGGTTACAATTCTTTCTATCATTTCTAGAATTATAAATTTGAAGGTTTTCAAGTTCTTCTTCTTACTACATCATTGGTATTTTTAACATTGACTCTTAATAATGACAATAAACAACCATTTCCTAAATATATAGAAAAAACTTAATCAAGTTTTAATTATCAAAGGAGTAAACATAATCTGAATTAATGCATGTAAGATTTGGAATAAATTCTACCCCACTAAAATTTTAATATACTTTAATATACACACATACGTTGATTAATATCTATTAATTACTGTATTATTCAGGATAAATTTGTTAAATCTCATTTTTAAGATTTAATTTGTAGGCTTTCTAATAAAATTTTATACANTAAAAACATATATATATATGTTTTTAAAAAACATATATATATATATGTTTTTTAAAAACATATATATATATGTTTTTATTTGTCCACTTTTATACCATTTATCACCAATAAAATTTTAAATTATGTATGTTTTAAAAAAAATCTAATTTTTTAAATGTTATTTCTAGGCGCCTCGTAGAAATTTGTCTCCATTAATAGTTCCTATCTGTGACGACTTTCCGTTCCTACCACCTAGATCCTTATCTCCATTGAAATCTTCTAGATGGATAGGTGATCCTTTGCCTCCGTCTTGTACTCCCGATGAATTAACTAGGATCCTAGTGGCACCTTCGGGTGGCCATTACGAAATGCCAAATACATCTTACGATGAAGTATATCCGAATATAATCTTGGGTGACGAGTGAGTATATTTAGGATTTTTCAATAATTTACAATACAACCGTTAATAAGGTCTCGGATATTTTCAATCGTCTGACTCAAAGCTAATTATAGCTGACCCACTGTGAATAACTATTTTATGAGGTGTTTTACTACTTTTTTTTGTTATTGTTGTTATTCTGAACTGCAACATCAATAGAATTGTGCCAAGTTCTTCAAAAATTTAACTTGGAGGCATTCCAAAAATTTCACAAATTTAGCTAATCTTTTTTTCCGTCTTTAACCTTTAATCATAACAATAATAAAGTCGATAAAAAATAATGTTACTTAAAGTGCCAATATTATCATATTGTAGTGACATGAATACAACTGATAAAAATGTTAATATGATGCACCATAGAAGAAAAGCATTAAAATCACTCCAAGGTCGTGAAAGTAAACTTCTGATCTTTTTTTTTTATTACTCAGTTATGAGCAATTTTAGCCCATACATGAAAGGTTAAAGACTAATGAAGTGTTGAAGTGATTGAGGGTAATGTCATTTAGCTATAAGTACCTAAAAGTAGTAGTAAAATTTAAATAAGTAATAAAATGTTTGGGAAAAAATTATGGTAATAAAATTATGTTTAAAAAGGTTATTTAAACAGCAATTTGTGAAATAAAGGTGGTTTGACATGCATTTTTTTGGACTAATTAATTCTTATAGGAGTCAGTGAATTATTAGACATGATATTCCCCAAATTGCAAAAGAAATTAAAAAAAAAAAAATTATGTTAAAAATCTTAACGAGAACACAAATCAATAAGGAAATAAAATCCAATCTCAAATGTAGCAAATAATTAATTTTTAAGTGTTTTTCGTGGATTAAGTAAAACATATATTATTGGAATGTCTAAAATTAGCTCAGATATAAATATATAAAATGTATCAATTTTAGTTATTGTTAATTAATAATTTTGGTATATTTTTTACTTTTATCTTTCATATTTTGTATTATCCATTTTGGCATTCGAATAAAATGTTATTATCTTTTGCAGTTTTAATTCATATTGTCCCTTGAAATAACAAATAACATCATTAATGAGATTTCAATTTCTCGTTTCTTCTATACCTTTTTGTTTTATTGTATGATAAATATTGTCAACCAGTGTTTTTCATCCCTTGTGAACTAGTGTAAATTGGGTCAAAAAGATACAATATCGTTTTGATTCTATAGTCAACTGTCTTTTTTGTTGGGATGCATTCAAAAAACAGTTTTTTTATTTGATTTGCTATTTTTACAACTTGTTCAATAATGTGAAAGTAATAGCGATACACTTTGGGCTATATTTTATTTTTTTAAATAAAATATATCCCAAAGTGTATCGAATCTCTACTATTTGTAAATATTTATGTAAAAATGCAATAATATACAAAGAAAATAATATAAAAACTAAATCATTGAAAGCTTGAAACTGAATTTACAGTATTGTAATTAGCCTATACTTCTCTCGGTTTGCATCAACGCTTACATTTTCTGAGTTTGATTAAAATAAATCTATTCTCATTAATATTTTCCATGTTATTACAATTAATTAACATATATACTAATAATACTAGGATTCTTTCTTTATATGAAGTAATGAAAACACGTATAAAGCATTTTCAAAATTTTCATTGACAGTTAGAAATAAGAAATTTAAAATTTTGAAGCAAATTTTTATTATATTAATGATAACTTAAAAACTAATTTAAACAATTAAATTAAATTGGGCTTTTTTGCAAACTTTTCCTAAGAGTAATAGCCAAGTTTCAAAGTTAGATTCTGAATTATTTGAGCTAATTCACATTATAATTCATCTACATAAAATTTAAAAACTGTATATATGAGAGTAATAAAAAAATCAGAAATTTCTCAAAATGTTCTACCATTGTTTTTCAATTATTACTAATAAGGTAAATAAATACAAGTAAACAACTTAACTAGCTATGGTTAAGTATTTAAAGACAGAGAGACCGAAATCCCAATGTGTAGATAGAAATAAAGCGAAACTAATGTAAATATAGACAATCTATACTTACCTTATTTTCTCCTTGGAGCTTTAACATTGTCTTTTCCTGTTATCGAAGTTAAGTCTACTTATTCTTGTTAAATGATGTAATTTTACTAGATTGAGAAACCCAGATATCTTTCTTTTTGTTTGTTTTTTTGAAATTTTTCCAAGTACGAAGAAAATACAATTGTTTTACATTCACTCCAGTTTCACAAATAATGATCACATCAGCACACGATTAATTATATAAATATAAAACAATTTAATTTATAATGTTCTAATTTTAAATCATATTTTTAATTTATTTAATTAATTAGTTTATTCAAATTAGTAGTGGCATACCCCTGTACATCACACTTTTCCTTTAACAATAGAGTCGTGCCAGTCATCTAACACCTTTCAAGGGAAAATGTTTGAATTGAAATAACATGACTTGCGGTTTGCATCTGAAGTTTGTATATAATTAACCGGGGCCTTCTGTCCCTATGGTGTCCATATCTCGTCTCGTCTTTCATGTAATTCCTTTCTCAAAATTAAGGAAAGACAGACGGACTGACGACTGTGGAAATTTATAGGTTTATAATTGCAGCCCAATTAATGAATTATTGGACAAAACATGTCGTTAGTTGTCAATTTAGGAAAGTTTTTCTCCTTTCTTTATACATAGAATTCTCCAATTGTTAATTTATTGTTTCAACTAATACTGTGAAAAGTATTTCACACAATTTTAACCGGTCACTAGGGGTAACTTTGTGACATAATCCGTTTTGCTGCATAAATCCGTATATTACTATATGGCGATTGCTAGTAAGAAAAAAAAAGGAGAATAAAATTATTCATTAAAAATACTAACTTTTATTAATTATCACAAAACAAACAATGATTTCGTGGAACTCACCGAAAACTCACCAGACCCGCTCGAATGCCTCGAAATCTTTCTTTACATAACTTTTGGTTACGACACAGACTCCATGGACCGCAGTTTATTAAAAAGTTTTTAAACAATAACATTTTGTAGACATAAATATAGATGATTCTAGATACTTTGGCATAAACCTTCGCCTTTATTTTCAGTAATTTTTCTTTTTTATATTAGTTTATATTATTAATAACCTCTGTTCTGTAATGTAAGGCATTTCTAAGTTGCAAAATGTTCGCAACATTTAATTTAAATACGAATAATGAAGTAGCATTATACTTGAGAGTAAATATTATTTTCTGGATAATCAGTCAGACAATACAGGTTTACGACATCGCCAATCTTTTATAAGAAAATATTACCCCAAAAAAATCTCCCTAAAGAAAAATATCTGAAGGCAACACTGTATATGGGGCCGCCCAATTCAAATTCGTCTGGGCCCTATGAAGCTATAACGTGCCACTGATTCCTCCCTCTACTTCTCGCGAGTAAATTTTTAGTTTGCTCGCGAATAGAGAAAATATTTATCAAATAATGCATTTACTTTTTAAACTTTTTAAAAATTGTCCCTATTTATTTATTTATTTCTATAAAACTAAAACAATTACATATATAGAATAATTTATGTATTCTTAGGCAAACCGCCATGTCTATACCGACATTACGAAGAATTGGTGTCACTCACGTATTAAATGCGGCACAAGGAAAGAATCGAAATTTATATTTCGTCAATACATCTTCCTCTTATTATTATGATTCTGGAATAAAGTTTCTTGGTATAGAAGCTATGGACAGTGCAAGTTTTCCTCTCTACCTCTATTTCCAACGAGCAGCTGATTTTATAGAGGAAGCATTGGGATCTGGAGGTAGTATAAACATTTTAAATATTAATTTTTTTTTATATTTCAATGATTTAATTTTTAAAATTTTATAAATTATAGGGAAGGTATACGTTCATTGCAGAGCCGGAATAAGTAGATCTGCGGCTTTAGTCATAGCATTTTTGATGATAAAACGTAACATGCCAGCTCAAGAAGCTGTTAGAAGGGTAAGAGCTCACAGAAAGATAATTCCCAATGATGGATTTTTAAGACAGATCTGTGACTTAAATGAAAAATTATCTATGGAAAGAAATAATTTCAGATCCTCACGTGGAATACCCTGAAATATAAGCTTAAAAAATTTTAAAGTTTTATAGATTTCATTGAGAATACATTTCGAGCTTTAATATTATTTTTAAAAAAATATTCATTATTCTACATTAATCTGTAAATAATATTGAACAATTCTCTATTCAAAACTCTAAAAATTTTTAAAAATTGGAATGTTTAATTATTTATTTATTTATTGTCATTTAAATCGTAAACTGCTGAGCAGTTTAATAATTTCTTAATGAAGATTAAAGTTTTAAAAAGCTTCATTTTACATTATTTTATTAAAACAATTAATTTCATGGCAAAAAAATGGAAAAAGTTTATTATTTTATAATATTTTAAAAATTTATTTAAATTATAAATTTTAATAAGCTTATTAGTGTAAAATGATTTGATTTGTATATTCAGCCAAGAAAATGAGAAATGTAGATTCTATGAAAGAAACATCATTTAATAAAAGCAATAAAGTTTTTGATGTAAATTTATATGCTTAATTTTTTTCCACTTATTAATTTACGACTATTGAAACTGTTTAAAAAGCTTTATAAAAGATTTTTCTTCGAAATAAATAAAAATTATATACATGAAAATCTCTCTTGCGGTCTGTTTATGTATTAAAACGCTTGACGACAGCTATCATATGATTAAAAGACTCCAATATTATAATTTTAGGTATTATAGCTTGTCAAATCTCAAAATATTTTTCTAAAACTGAAAAATTTACCATTTGCAAAACATTATCAATGTACATGCAACGTAAATTAATTTATACGTGATCTAAACTATTTTTTTCCGCTGTTCTTAATGTAATAAAATAAATGTTTAGTTTCATGTAAATAGCAAATTTACTACTTTGATAGGATTTGTCGGTTTTTAAAACCGTGATTTTTTGAAGAAATTTATATAATTTGAAAACCGGGTTTTCCCAACTAAAAGAAAATAGATTTTTGAACCTACGCTTAAAAATTAATTAATTATTTGATTAAAAACATCAACATTTTGACACAAAATCGTCTCTGGCATAAAACGCGAATATTGTTAAATACTAAGTTTCGTAAAACTAACCACAAAAACAAAAAAAAAAAATATTCCCTACCCCTAAAAAGCGTCCAATTCTTCCTATAATAGGTAGAAATCTTGCAACAACGGAAAAACAATAGAAAAATTTGTACACTTAAAAGAATGTGTTGTTTTAAATTTGAATGACATCGGTGCTTCTCACACGTGGAATGAAGCAGAGTATTGTAAAATTGTACAGCTCCTTAAAGTTTAAAGACCAATACTTTTAACAGCTGATGCCTTAGAACGACAAAATGTGCATCTTGTCGTCTTATTTATTAACAAGTGAAGGTGTATTTGAATTTCTATTATGTGAATTTAAAAATTTCAAAACTAAATTTAGTTCCAAGTTGTTACATGCTGTAGAGGTACGAATTCAAGAGAGAAGACAAACGGAATTAGTAACACTTCTCCTTTATTTACAAAATCCACAGAACGTTTGGATAAAGTCGTCTAGCGTATTTTTTCCACTAGCTGCAAAATCTGATATCATTCAATCATCTGGACAACTATTATCGAGAGTGTATCCAAATTAATCTATAGAAAATGACTGCGATGATGAAAAAGTGGCGAATAAGAAAATCAAGTCATAGCTTTAAAAAAATGTTATGGAAAAATCGATACATAAATATCTTTCAAGAACCTGAAGAAGTGACTTCGTCCAGCCCTAAGACACTAAAAAAGGAGTTTTTATTATTATTAGAGGGTACAAACACAAGAACGAAAACTTTAGATTTATTATTTAATGCTTAAGCCCAGCTCAGTAGCGAGAGAGTTTTTTCTATTTCTGGCAATTTTGTGTGCAAAATAAGGACACGGTTGAGCAATAGATCTATAAACGTTCTTTCCTTTCTAAAATCATTCTAAAATTTTCTTAAAAAAATAAGAAATAAAATATTTTGTTGGCATTCATTATTGTTTATTTTTCTTTATGGTTTTCTATGGAATAAATTCTATAGTTTAATGTGATAATCTAGTATTTTCTTTTGTTGTTGTTGTTGCTTTGTATAGACGTTGGTCGATTTTATTGTTATATTTTTAACATTTTATAAATATTAAATAAATTAAAAAGGTTTAAAATAAGTTGTATATATTTCTTGTCTCCATTTTTTGGGGGGGAAGTGAAAGTTCGAAAACCGGTTTTTTAAAATGTCGGTTTTTGTATAAACCCTACTCTTTGAGTGTGTAGTAAAAANATCTTTTCATGCCCAAAGATGTCCTGAGATGGAACAAGACATATCTTCAGCATCATTGGTGAAGCCACAAGATATGTACAGTACAAGTATTCCTTCTGAGGAACAAGAGAGAGATGCGTTGAATCATTTTAAGAAATATAAGACAGAAGTTGAGATACAAACTCCAATGTCCTCAGTGATGACACGTATGCATATATACTACTGCATATATTTCTTGTCTCCATTTTTTGGGGGGGAAGTGAAAGTTCGAAAACCGGTTTTTTAAAATGTCGGTTTTTGTATAAACCCTACTCTTTGAGTGTGTAGTAAAAATTCAAATTCAGCTTTAATTAAAACGAAATAAAGCCACAATTGCTGAATAATTCTGAATAATGCATTGCTGAAAACAATTCGAATACCGAGAAACTTTTTCCATGAGAAAAGTACGCGTATTCGAGTCGTTTTCAAATTGATACAAATTTCTGCAAATGATAATACAGTAAAACATTGCAATAATCCCATACCTGCCAATTCATGATGTTAAACATTACAGACTCCAATTTCTTTGCTTATAAACTAAACACTTAGAGTAATAAAGTCTTTAAAGGATAGACCTGTGTTTGTAGATTGTATAATTATTCCTTCTAGGAATTGTATATTAACTGCGTTTTCTGTAATATGTACTAAACCAGCGAAAATGCTGGTATTGCGACTTCACAGAATTATAAGGAAGTTACGGGTAATTGAGGTTCTTAATTACGTGTAATTTCCTATCATAGATTGGGATTCTTGTCCCTCAATTTGATAGATTTACACAAGAAGCCCAATTTACGATAGTTTGAATTAAGACGATTTACAAAAGTACCAAAAATTCACAAAAAAGGAAAAAGTATAATAAAATCAGCCTCGAGATGATTCTAAAAATTTACGCTAGTGCATAATTATATCACACTAAGAGACAAAGCGAGATAAAGGAGCCTGACATTGGCTATTAAAAACAAGGCTTCGACTCAATTTGTGTTCTAATTTAATTTCTGTTACTTTTTAAAACAATTACAGTATTTACTACAATGTGTAGTTATGTAAAAAAAAATACTACTAAACTATTGATATCGAGAATTAAAGTGGTGTTTTATTTATACGCGAAAGTATTTTGGCGACTGGTACGATTATAAACGACGAAAATCTCGGCTGGTGCCATATTAACGTAATAAAACGGTCTATCTTGACTATGATAAGTAAGACCACACAACTCTATACGTTTGATATTAAATAAGAATAATTGCCTCTTTCGTTTATTTCAGTCTACTATAATAAACTGTTTAGAATAAGCTCATAAGATTGCACTGGAATTTTGGAGATTGCACTTGAAATCACTGCATACAACCACGATCGAACATAGCCACAACGCCATTGAAACAAACGAAAACAGACAATACACAGTGTAAGAATGGGCCACACGCTTTACTTCATTTTACTAGAGCGACTTTCGATTTTTCGTGTATTTCAAAAAAGTTTGTAGGTATTATTCGATTTGAATACCGTGATGTGTACTAAAGAACTTATTACTTAAACACTTATTTGTGTAAATGAGTTTCTTCCATTTGACATCATCTTCCTTTGAAGTGATTTTCTCATGCGGAAACTGTACACAACACAACTAAATTTGTGTTCATGTTGCAGAACAAGAGGAAATTGAGTGATTGCCAGAGCACTCACAAATTAACCTCATCGAATATGAGCTCTGGGAGGGCACGAATATATATACTTGAAACGAAAGGTGTATCTAAGCACAGTGTCTTTAAGGAGTGTGATAGTTGGAATTATCTTTAGATCGTCATAAGTTATAATATATATATATATATATATATATACAGTAGAACCTATGACGATCTATACTGTATATATATATACACAGTATAATCTTCCAAAAAAAGATATCTAAAGAAATACATAAATATAATAGAAATACTAGGATTTAACGTAGAATATATACCTACCGTTTGATGTATGATGTACACGGAAACAACTTCCGAATACCCCCCAATTATGGGCCAAAATGTGCTTGGTTTAAAAGGCAGCCTTAGTGCCTACAAAGCGAAAAGACTCAAAAATGAAAGTCTGGTTAGAAAGACCCTCGTAATGCCCACAAAGCAGAAAGACTCTAAAATGAAAAAAAAAAGCATCAGAGAGGATGTATTATCAGTATTTTCAATATTGAAATATTGAAAATACTGATAATATCAAAATTTAAATTACCGAGAACAGAAAGTCCAGTAAAAAATATACGGAAGAAATCTTAAATATGGTTGAAGTCAAGAGGTAAGCAGTCTTGTCTTGTCTTGTGGTAATGCCAAATTGCAAGCCAGAAAGTGTGGGATTTGTATTAAGAAAATCAACGTTCCAACCCTTCTCAAATTATGCAAATGAAAATCGAAAATGCGACTAAAACTACTTGAACTACTGCATAACGATCTGACAAAATCTTTTCATGCCCAAAGATGTCCTGAGATGGAACAAGACATATTTTCAGCATCATTGGTGAAGCCACAAGATATGTACAGTACAAGTATTCCTTCTGAGGAACAAGAGAGAGATGCGTTGAATCATTTTAAGAAATATAAGACAGAAATTGAGATACAAACTCCAATGTCCTCAGTGATGACACGTATGCATATATACTACTGCTTAAATGTGGAAGAAGTCATCACTCAACTACAGTCAACATTAATAACAAGACATTATTCTTCAAATAGCTAAAACAGCAAAATTGTAAATAACTATGTAAATACGATTAGTAAATGTACTTTTTAACTACTTAACAATTGCAAAGCAGTTCAATCAAAAGATCCCTTCCCTTCTCTTCAACTACTCTCAATATCTATCCATCCCTAATCCTACAAAATCATTTTTATTAACTCTCTTCTCCCTCTCTGCCCAAATCTTTCCACAAAAACTTATCTATCTTACTCTATTTTGGCTAAGTCAAAAGACAGCCAATAAACTCTTTAAAAATAAAATAAAATAAAAATGCCACTGCTTAGAATTTTGTTCCAAAGCCTGGGAAACTTTCTACAAAGGACATGGTATGATATACGAACACACAATGACATACTTTCATTCTCAACCACCATTATAAAACTTGCGACTCCAGTCCTGTGTCATTTCATGTGACCTAAAGAACAATCATCACTTCTATAACTTTTAGAGTAACTACTACAGTCCAGTAAATTATTCTTCAAATATAGCAAAAAACGATGAAGAGAGTGAACGAAGAGAACAGCAGCACATTATTAGACTTTGATCAGTACAGTACCATTTACGGAAATAAATTATCAAAGGCTACCTGGGGAGAACTGATATATACAGCAGCAAATATCAGAAACCGCGTAACTAATAAGCAATAATAAATAATTCATACAAACTTTTATTCATAAAGAAACCAAATCTACGCCATTTACGGGTTGCCAGTTGATAAGTCTTTGTTCATGTTCCAGAGCATGAGAAAGTTGTAGTATTCTCAAGAGCACTAACAAAGTAAAAGCTCAAGTGCTTGGATGGAGATATACTGTATATGCCTGAAACGAAACGTTTATCTTGATACAGTGTCTTTAGGGACTGTGATAGTTGAAGATGATAACAAAGAGATAGAATTCACTACTAAGAATTTGAAGATTAAGTTATTCCTTTTCAGACAAGGTTACTCGCTGACAGTATACTTAGCAAAGCAAGCTCACAAGAGCTCTGGAAGCTTCTAAGAGAAGTTCGAATCCCAAAGAAATAAAGGGAAATCAAAGAGAATTAACAAATGGCACTAAGAAATCAAAGTGAGAATAATGCACAAAATGAAGAATATGTCACAAGTGAAAAAAATCTGGATGATATTCTGATAAAAGCTCTCAACTGAAATTTGCATAAAGCCCACTGTTATAAGCTATTTATCTTATGGAGTAACCATACAAGTTACATAATGGGAAGCACTGTCCGGAGTGTTGATTGTGAAAAACTTATTGGCTAATTTTATATCACGTTACTAAATCATTTTCGCCTTTGATTTTTGCCGCGTTTCTTTTGACGACATATTACAGTACACGTCTGTTTGTTTATATTATGTTAACGTTCTTTCCAAACAAGGACTATGCCAAGGACAGTTATCAACTGACAAAAACCACCTTTAGGAATAAATTAATTTTGTGAACAAGGATGTATAGTTAATTTTGCCAAATTAATTGGGATTCATCATAAAATAAATCTTTGAAAGTAGGGATACCATCAGAATATGATTGTTAACCACACTCAAAATTTCCGTAAATTTAACCATTATAAAAAGTAATAATAAATAAATAATACTTTTAATAATTAATGAAATCAAAAGTAAACGAGCAAAAATTATTATGGCATCTTCACAATGCCGAGCTGCAATTTTTAATCATATTTTTTAACTTATTTAAAATATATTTTCTCGATCTGAAATTAGTAGCATCTTGCCCCTGTACATCATACTTTTCCTGACAACAACAGAATGATGCTGGTCATCTAATTCAAAAATTTTTCTCAGAATGGAACTCCATTCTGAGAAAAATTTTTGAATTGGAATCATATGACTTCCGGTCTAGCCTGGAAATTCGGGCATAGTTCATCGGAGCCTCCTACTCCTAAGCTTTTGTGAGATCCGAATAACCCTGGGTCTAAATAACAATTTAAATATAAAATTTAAAATTATAAAGTAAAATATTATTTCATTTTGGTGTGAAAATATCGTTTTTCTAACGTGGGAAAACTGATAAAAGAGCCACTTCCTTTAACGGAAGTAGACACATCCTTTTGTTTTCCACTTATCTATCACAAATCTCACCTGGGAATTGTCGACCCCTCAATAATTCCCCTTTTCATCCGTTCACGTGAGAGATGACAAATAAGCTGATTGGTCACAAATCAAGGTCAAAGATCATGTATATCTTTGACTATATCCCATATTCCCATATTCGCTCCCTAAGGCCAACGCCTTAGTTAGGAGTACAAAAAGGATCTCAGAGAAGACCGACGTAGTCCAAATTTGCTCCACAACGCCCTTAGTCGTATCCAATCGAGTATAATAATGAGTTAATTTAGGAGTAAAAGAACTTTTAATATTGTGCCAAATCAAGACCTCTCCATGAAAACGAAGTAGGATCATCGAATACAGATGAACATAAAGACAAAGTAAACTTTCAGGTAGTGTGATTATAAATAAATTTGTGAGCTCTCTCTCTCTCGAAGCATATATTTAATTAATCCATTGTCTCTCATTCGCTTAATTCTATTTTTGAATAATTCCATTTGTGTAATTTTATTTACTTTTATTTTATTAAATCTTTTATTACTTGTTAAAGAAATGTCTCTTATTTGTTATCTGAATCAAATCCATATTATCTCCAAACGCGTGTTAATCCGCGTATCTAAATTTGATTAACTGGTGTCAAGGAATCCTGACGTAGATCTAGACTTCACAGTCCGGATCGTTTTAAATATTAACAGCCCTCCTATGAAAAAGATTTAGATTTTTATACGAATTTATTAATTATTCGATATTTCGTTTTATGCATTAAACTTAATTTATCAAACAGAATAAAATTAAAAATTTATTTTAAGATTTTAGTTATTCATTTTCTAAACTATGCATCTATTTATATAAAGAACAAGGTCAACTAAAGAAAATAAATTTTTGCCTCTTTTTTTCAGTGTTCATATGGCCTAAATATATTTTCTATGTAATAACATCATGTGTTTTAATAACACAAGATTATTATTACATGACGATTAATAATGATATGAAAACAAATTTTTTAAGTTAAACTTGTGGTGATTTAACTAAAATTATATGAGAATTTTCGACAGGTATTATATATTTATTAGTTTTGTTTATCTATCAACACTAATAGAACATAGAATGAATTATAGAAGAGTCTGTTGCTTCAAACCTTCCTTTTATATCAAAAATTTACTATATTAAAACTTTTAATAAAATTAATATCTTTAAATCATATAGTTTTTTAGTATATTTTGATTTTGAAAAATAAAATCGTATATAATGTCCATTTTGAAATTAAAAACAGTTGATATAGAATTGCGGAACCATGTTAAAAGATATTTTAAAAAATGAACAAAATACGAATATTTACATAAGAAACATTTAAAAAATTAAAATTAGAAAAAGGACGAATGAGTAAATGAATGTGTTTTGAAACTAATTACGCATTCGCACCTAGAAAAAAACAAAACAAGAAAGCATTATCCAATGAAAGATAAAGCTTATGTAATCTACGTTTTCTACTTGCCAAAACCTTGCTGATTCAAGGGTAGAAAAGTTATATTTGGGGCGTCGTGTAGCTTTCTTAATTACAAAATGTATAGAAGAAGAGTACACAACGATGTAAGTAGTTTTATTATTATTATTATTCAAATTTTTATCATTTTATAAGAAAAATATGAAATAGTACATCGCTATCTTTTATAGGCTTTATACAAAACTTTACGAAAACCTACGGAAAATAAAGTTAATATTTTGTATCGTACAATACCAGAATCAAGGATAATTCCAAAATGGATGAAAGAAAATTATCTTTCATGCTCGCGTTTAGATTTATTAAAGATCATAGTAGAGCCTAGAGGTTATTTCGAACTTCCTACCGATCCTTACAACGAAGTTTTTCCAAATATTTATATAGGAGACGGGTAAGTATTATCTATTTTTAAAGACCGTTCAATGTTTATTATATATAGCACATATTTTTATAACTAAAATCGAACAGAAACTAAAGCTTTATTTTAAGGTTGATGGAACGGAATGGAATGTAAACAACGATTCTGTCAACAAGAACTAATTTTCTAGCCAAATTAATTTTAAAAAAGTTTAAACGATTCTTTTAACGGTGTTTGAAGAGGAAAAAAATGTTATATTTTTTTAATTAATTAAAGAACTGATTAAAAAGTAATTTCGACTATTTTGTAGTGCAACTGCGATGTGCACTGCATTGTTACGGAGACTGGGAATAACGCACGTATTGAATGCAGCACAGGGTAAAAACCGTAATGTTGGCTTGGTTAACACATCAGAAGAATTTTATCGTGATAGCGGAATCAATTATTTTGGAATCGAAGCTTTCGACACAATTTCATTTCGGCTGAATGTATATTTTCAAGATGCTGCAAATTTCATTGAGAATGCTCTTTCCTCTGGAGGTAAAAATAAGAAAAATATAGTCTACTCGTACATTAATTATTACTTAATATATACAAATTGTTACAATTTGTATATCTTTAATAAAAATTTATATAAATAGAATTTAAACTGAATAATTTAAAATCCTTTGCAGGAAAAGTTTATGTTCATTGCAGAGCAGGAATAAGCAGATCTGCAGCTCTTGTAATTGCTTATTTAATGATAAAACATAGGATGTCAGTACAAGATGCAATACGAAAAATTAAAGAAAACAGAAATATTATTCCCAATTGTGGTTTTTTAAGGCAATTGTGTGAATTAAACGAAGAAATTATGAAAGAAAATGAAAGGCACCTTTCACGTGGAGTTCCTTAACTTTGATGGTAATAGTTTAAATCAGGGGTGAGCAACCTTTTTAATCAACGGGCCAATTTAAACTTTAAAATTTTTTGGCGGGCCGCACATAAAGTAACACTTATTAATAATTTACAAAACTTTATTTATAATAAACATTAGAATAAAAAAATATAAAATTTAAAAAAAGTAAAGATTTCATATACAAATTTTAATGCAAAATAAAAACAAACAAGAAAAGAACAGAAAAACGAATTTACTTGAAATTTTTAATGAGAAATTTGGCACTGTTTTTTCGATACAAGCTGATCAATATCAGCCGGAATTGATGAGGTAGCTACACGTACGCAGCTTTCTAATCGTGCATCACTCAGTCTTGATCGGTGGTCATTTTTGATTAATTTCATGGTTGAAAATAATTGTTCGCAAACATACGTACTTCCGAACAGAGACATCATTTGCTTTGCATTTTTCGTCAAAAGCGGAAATTTCTCAGGGCTCACATAAGATTTATAAAAATTTTCGATGTTTACTGAGAAAAATACATTTTTTAAATCGGTATTATTCTGCATGTCAATCACTTCCATTTGAAAGTCTTCGGGAACTGTATCCACATCGATATTAAATGGCGAGGAAAACATTTTCATGGAAACCGCTGTCTTCTCAGCTTTGAACATTTGGAATCGTAATTGAAATTCGTTGATTAAAATGTCTATATATTGTGCGTATTTTTGAGAAGTAGTAACGTTTTCTTTTTCTAAATGTGGAAAGTGAGACACATTATTCTGCAAAAGATGCTGTTTCCACAATTTTAATTTGCGCTCAAAGCCCTGAATTTTATCATACAAATTGTGAATAAACTGTCCTTTGCCTTGAAGTTCCACATTAAGATCATTGAGATGCTGAGTCATGTCGATAAGAAACCCAAAATCGCACATCCATTCTTTATTACCAAAATGAGGAAAGGCATATCCCTTCATATCCAAGAACAATTGTATTTCGCTTTTTAAGTTGTATACTCTTTTTAGCATTGCACCTCTACTAAGCCAACGTACTTCGGTATTAAAAACCACGTCGCCATATTCAGTTTCTAAATCTTTCAGGAATTCTTTAAATTCACGGTGATTTAACGCGCGCTACTTTATAAAATTGATTAGTTTAATTATTGGTACTGTGACATTTGGTAAACTCAATCTTTTCGCACACAAATTTTCCTGGTGAATTATGCAGTGGTTAACGAACATTTCCCTTCCCGTGACCTTCTTAATGTCTCGAAATAGCTTTCCCGATACTCCTACCTCCATGCTTGACATTGCTCGTGCTCCATCTGTCGATATACCAATAATCTTTTCTAATGAAATTGAAAAATTTTCCAATACAGACTTTAGTTCATCGTACAGGTCTTTGCCGATTGTAGTCCCTTGCATTGGAATCAGTGAACACAATTCTTCGGTAATATTAAATTTGGTGTCAATATGACATAAAAATATAGCCAGTTGTGCTGTATCGCTAATATCGCAACTCTCATCAAGTGCCAAAGAACGGTATTCGAATTTTGCAATGCGTTCACGAAGCGTTGTTGCTATGTTCTCGGACAAGTCTTCAATTCTCCTTGCAATGGTGAATCTTGATGATAATATTTATTTTATCAGGAAATGCTATTTCTGCAACAGCAGTCAGACATTCTTTTATCATTTCTCCATCCGCAAGGGGTTTCATTTTTTTGGCCAGTATTTGACTGACAACAAAACTAGCCTTTACTGCCGTATTTGATAAAATAGCTTGATTTTTAAAAATAGCCTGTTGTTTTCCCAAGTTTTTCTCCATTTGATTAAATTTATCTATCCGGAGTTGTCCTGTTAAGTTTTTATATTGTTGTTCATGTTTTGTATCGTAATGCCTTTTTACGTTATATTATTTTAATGTCGACACAGTCTCTGAGCATATTAAGCATACAGCTTTATCTTTGACGAAAGTGAAAAAATAATCAAATTTCCACTTTTCTTGGAAATGCCTGTGCTCATCCGCAACCTTCCGTTTTTTCGTTTGCTTTTCCGACATGCTATTATGGATTAAAAATTTAAAAGTTAAAAAAAAATTTGTAGGAAAACTTGATTTTGAATAAAAAAAAAACCTCTAATATTACCTTTTTGACAATAATATTGCACTCACGCCTTTCAAGAAACACAAGAATTGCTAAAATTGTTAGTTAACAGCATACCAGTCTGACTGATTGTGTGACAGAAGCAAACACAAACAAGCACAGACGCGGCGCGTTCGTATTGCATGTTTTGAACCACTCACCGAAAAGTGAGTAGTAACTCGTCACAAAAAATTGTTTCGATTTAGTATGTACTACCATTTTATTATAAATAATTTTATAACAATATATTGATGGGAGAAAGTCGATAAAATAAATTCAATTTTAAAAATGCTTGGCGGGCCGCGTGTTGCTCATCCCTGGTTTAAATAAACAAAAAAGAATTAATTAAATTTTAAGAAACTTTGTTTTTTAACAGATATAATGATCCAAGAACAAATATGTACCAAGATATAAATATAAAATATCTTACAAGTGTAAAGCTAATAAATTTAAATTTCTTATATTGGGCCATTCGCAAATAAATACAAATTGTTTTCAATTTTGTGATGAGTGGGGAGAAAAATAAACACGGGTGTAATCTTACGTCAACAAAGACACACCCTCCATCCATCATCAGCAATTGTCAAATATAAACGAATCCGCTCTACTCCTTAACCTCTTGACTTGAATGGTCCCAATGGCTTTTTAAGTTAATAAGAAACAGTTCAATTTTATATGCTCTGTAACACTTAAATTTACTTATTATTTGTATATATATGTAATGATTACTTTTGTTTCTAAAATAAATGAGATTTAGCTTTATACATTGAATATATCTTATATTTTAGAAACTTTAACTATTCAAATGACGTGTTTGAAATTATTATAAAATACTGTAGTAAATAAATACGAAAATAAAAACTTTATTAACAAATTTGTTATTGTGTTTTTTTTTTAGTAAGAATAACAATTATTTTATATATTGATAAAAATGAAAGCTAAAACAAAATATTTATTGTAAATGCATTAAAAAAAGAATATTTTTTATTTAAATTCTAATCATAAAAAGGCATAATTGTTGATATATTTTCATAATTATCAGCAAAATAGCTATAACCAAAGTGATAATCCATCAATCATCATCATATTCATTATAGAAAAGAAAGTTGTTAATTAAAGTATATTTTTCTAATTAAGATAATTATAGAATTTGATATTTAGTTTTTTATTTATACTCCAATATGAATTTATATAATATTGAGATTTAATTTTAGAAATTATTAAAAATGTTGTCTTTTTAAAAATATTCCAACTTACAATTTCAATGTTTTTTAAAAAGAATTCAATGTCAATAGTCTGTTAGTTTTTTTTCTATAACAACACTTACAACAATAAATTACCAGTATTAGTATAATCACTTGAATTATTTTATTATATTTATTGTGTAAACATAAAAACTATTTCAAAAAGTATTTTGAAATATTATGATATAATTTGGCATTTACTATGTCAAATCAAAAAATTTCTTAAAAATCAAAAATACACATAGATTAAATTTATTGTGTGTGTTCCATATAGCTTTATTTATTCACTTTTAAAACAATACACATCATAAACTTACAGTCATTTAATTCAGATATCTTAAGAGGCTGGAAAAGTTAATTATTAAAACATTTATTTTATATTCTCTCAAATAATTAAATTATTAGATAAAATATTATTGATTATAAACATATAATTTTTGTTTTAAATAATATTTTTATATCAATATTAATCCCACTTAATTAAAAAATCACTAAGTGTAACTTTATGCATGCTTTTTCAAGAAAAAGTTTCTTAGCTTTTTGTCAAAATCTTAGTTCATTAACAAAATGATTATTTTGCCTCTCTGCGTGAAAGATGTAATTTAGCACTGAAACAAAAATAATTAATTTTATATCATACAAGCCTTTACAATTGGTATAATACCACTATAACATGATGATAATGAAACAATATATTTGAATTGAAATTGTAGAAAAAATGGGGAAAAATCAATCTTATTTGTTGCAAATCAAGCAAATTTGATTTACAAGCACTTGATCAAAATAATTGATGTAGAAGAGTTTAAATATATAACTTAGCTGAAAAATAAGTTATGAAATTTAAAAAATTCAAAGTTTTAATATTACAATTTATTCTAAATTATCAGATAAATTTATTTAGCACTTGTTTTAAGTTTTAATCAACTGCTTAACAATATTGCCAATTCATGTGTAAAGTAATTAAAAATTACATGTATTGTTTTAAAATATAAATCATAATTAAGAAAACAAAAATATTTTTTAAAACCACAAAAGCAAAGTAATACTTGGTTAAATTTTTAAGTTATGGACAAAATATTCCAATTCTAAAATTTACCACATGACATAGCTGCTTCCTACACATTCTTGTACTTTATGAAATGCTTTTCCAGTAAGTTTACTGGTATATAAAAGTTATATTCCTCTTCAGTATGTTTCATTACATAAAGCATAATCAAGAAACGATAATTTTTAAAGATAGTAAATAATATCTTAAGAATANTTTTTTTTTAGTAAGAATAACAATTATTTTATATATTGATAAAAATGAAAGCTAAAACAAAATATTTATTGTAAATGCATTAAAAAAAGAATATTTTTTATTTAAATTCTAATCATAAAAAGGCATAATTGTTGATATATTTTCATAATTATCAGCAAAATAGCTATAACCAAAGTGATAATCCATCAATCATCATCATATTCATTATAGAAAAGAAAGTTGTTAATTAAAGTATATTTTTCTAATTAAGATAATTATAGAATTTGATATTTAGTTTTTTATTTATACTCCAATATGAATTTATATAATATTGAGATTTAATTTTAGAAATTATTAAAAATGTTGTCTTTTTAAAAATATTCCAACTTACAATTTCAATGTTTTTTAAAAAGAATTCAATGTCAATAGTCTGTTAGTTTTTTTTCTATAACAACACTTACAACAATAAATTACCAGTATTAGTATAATCACTTGAATTATTTTATTATATTTATTGTGTAAACATAAAAACTATTTCAAAAAGTATTTTGAAATATTATGATATAATTTGGCATTTACTATGTCAAATCAAAAAATTTCTTAAAAATCAAAAATACACATAGATTAAATTTATTGTGTGTGTTCCATATAGCTTTATTTATTCACTTTTAAAACAATACACATCATAAACTTACAGTCATTTAATTCAGATATCTTAAGAGGCTGGAAAAGTTAATTATTAAAACATTTATTTTATATTCTCTCAAATAATTAAATTATTAGATAAAATATTATTGATTATAAACATATAATTTTTGTTTTAAATAATATTTTTATATCAATATTAATCCCACTTAATTAAAAAATCACTAAGTGTAACTTTATGCATGCTTTTTCAAGAAAAAGTTTCTTAGCTTTTTGTCAAAATCTTAGTTCATTAACAAAATGATTATTTTGCCTCTCTGCGTGAAAGATGTAATTTAGCACTGAAACAAAAATAATTAATTTTATATCATACAAGCCTTTACAATTGGTATAATACCACTATAACATGATGATAATGAAACAATATATTTGAATTGAAATTGTAGAAAAAATGGGGAAAAATCAATCTTATTTGTTGCAAATCAAGCAAATTTGATTTACAAGCACTTGATCAAAATAATTGATGTAGAAGAGTTTAAATATATAACTTAGCTGAAAAATAAGTTATGAAATTTAAAAAATTCAAAGTTTTAATATTACAATTTATTCTAAATTATCAGATAAATTTATTTAGCACTTGTTTTAAGTTTTAATCAACTGCTTAACAATATTGCCAATTCATGTGTAAAGTAATTAAAAATTACATGTATTGTTTTAAAATATAAATCATAATTAAGAAAACAAAAATATTTTTTAAAACCACAAAAGCAAAGTAATACTTGGTTAAATTTT